GCTATATTGCCTTTCCTAGTGCCCACTGAATAGAACCGTTTTAGCTCAAATGTGTTTTTAAAATAAAATTTTAGAATTTGAATTTTTAGAAAAAAAATAATTTTAGACCACTCTCGTTTCAGAAATAACACTATACAAAACACATATTTGCTGTAATCAACTTTGATATGAGATATAAACAACTTTAGTAAGAGATGTTATTTTGACTCTTATCTATTATTCTGAGCAGAAATAAGGGACATAAAGATAGGAAACGCTTATAAGAAGCACATGCTTAACAACGAGCAACTCGAACGCTGTTAACATCTGACTCACTATGTGGCGATCCCATCGATATTAAACAAATAACTTAGCTGGAAATTTAAAAACCAGATAATAAAGGTTGTAAATATGCACTTTCATGTTCTTGTAAATAAATTTAAACAATATTAATTACGCTAAATTGATTATTAAAAAGAATACTACACTTACAGTCTATTATCGAGTAATTATTCTAAATCTATTCATGACAAATATTTTTAACTTTTTGATTATTAATTGTAACTTTAACATTTGTTATTCTTATTTTCCAAACGAGTGGCCAATGGTGTCTCATTTTTAAAAATGTTAACTGCAAACTTTATAATGAAAATTCAGATATTTTTGTTCCTATATCACTCCTCTCCAATGTTTTGAAGCTATTTTCTTGCTCTAATACAATAAATGATAACAAAAGTTGGCTTACTTTGGTAAATTAGAGAACACCACATTGGCATGTGGCATGTGTTACTAATGCAATACGTGCTCAGACTAATTATTCTAACTTTTCAAAACATAATAATTGTCCTCAAATTCTACACAAAAACAACTACAACCATTTCGTTTAGTTCACCTTACAATATTAACAATTGATGAACTCAAAATTTAAAATTCAAATTCAGGATTCTACGATATACATACAACTGACATTTATTTTTACAAACTGTCCACGTCTTCTGTATGTCTAAAAACGATGTGTACCATTAGTTAACATATGAGACGCATAGACGACGCCATCGTTGCTGTGGTCGTTGTGTTTCCTATCTTTATGTTTCTGATCCCTGATTTCGAGTAATATTTAATGGTAATGTTACTAAAATTTTACAAAAAAATTTTTAGATTTTTAATATTTTAAAGTTTGTTGCAATCTCTTTTGACAGTACATGCAATGTCTTAGTTGTGGTTTGTTTATTTTAGTGACACATGAGAATTAGTAATACCTAAATAGTAAATAGAACCAAGATATTTTTGTCAAATTAGACATTCTAATTTCATAGTAATAACCTACATTAATTTTAATTAACAAAGTAAACAATTTAATTAATGACAAGAAAACACTAAAGATTCTAATTTCTAAACCGGTTCTGTAAATGATTTGTTTACAGCTGAGTGCCCAAAATTGATACAAAATATGTATTGGATAAAAAAAAAACTTCGCCCAGTGAAATACGCATTTCGTAATCTGATTTACATATGGATAATCAATCTATGTAACTATGTATATCATTGGGTGTGAGACACCAAGTGTGCTCGGTGTAAAGTTTTTCGATAATGATATTACGAAAACGATTCGATTTTATTTGATTAATAATTACTAAACAATAAATGACATGTCGGGGTGGGTGGCTCAGTGGTAGAGTATCTTCCTGTGGATCCAAGGGTCCCAGGTTCGAATGCCACCGTTGGCCGGGATTTTTTCATTTAATTTAATTATTTAAAATTAATTCTGATGCCTTGGTAGGATTCCCCACTCGACCATTCACTGTTGGGTACTAATTAACGATGCTGTTCCTAAAGTGGTACTGGGAAACAGTAACAAAACCTACATAGAAAACGAGGCTAATAACCGTAGCAGTTGATGCCGATGACAAAAAAAAATAAATGACATAAAACTTTAATAAATTTCCCCATAAAATTAACATTTTTTTTCACCAGTTGGCGTTAAAGTCATGATGTACGGTCTCTATAATCACCGGGATTTTACAAAATACACCTAATAAAAAACGGGAATCGCAAAATTTTAAGATTTTAGTTTGAAGGGAGACATCTATTTATTATTAACTGTCGTACGTCATTCTCCTCTACACTCTACACTTGGCGGATAATTCAGCAATATGACTATTTATTGCATTACTTTTAATTTTACCCATTTTAAAATGTGACACTTCATTTAGAAGCTAATTTTATTAGGAATTTAATTCGTAGCATACATTTTCTATTTTAGTTGATTGTGATAAAGTTTATAGTTCTTAAAATTTGAACCCTGCAATTATTTAAGTTCTTGTTTCATTAAATTATGTTTTGTTATGTTGTTTATACGGCTCGACCACGTTGTAACGTTGGCCGGGAATTATAAACTAGCAACGCTAAATATATTCGTTTCCCGCTCGTTCAAATGCTAACTCTTTGTAGTTTTCACATGCACTTGTGCAAAGCGTATTGGAAATGTTCAAGAGCCGATACTGTATATGTGAATATAAATCTATTCTGTAAACTGGATAATCGTTTTAAAGACCATAGTTAAGCTGCCACTATGGTAATTTAAAGTTAGTGGCATCCATACACATTACAGTTAGGATTTATTACAACAATAAAAATAAAACAAAAGCAAGAGCATGAGATCTGTGTATAATACAATTATAATATTTAAAAGTTAATATTAGTAAATTATGACACAAATACATAATCGAGCCTTTAAAGCATGAGCAACGAGATTAAAGCCACGACGCGCAGCGGAGTGACCTTAACGTTGCGAATGCTTTAAAGGCGATTATGCATTGTGTCATGCGATATTTTTTAGTATGAATGCGTAATTACAATCGTAATAGTAGTAATAACTACGATCATTTTAATTGAAAAATGCTAATTAATAATTTCCATTTATCCATTTATCAAGTGGGTAGGTAAATGTCATTTGACATTTCATTTAATTATTAAAATAATTTTTCTGTTTATGTTACTTGATTTAGATAAACTTGTAAACAATTTCATTAATTTGACAATTCAAAATAGAATTTGATATAATCTAATCTTATTTATTGAAGCGGTTACCTAGCAACCTTTATACGCACGGCGTGCGATAAAGACACGATTATGCACGCTTTTGGGGTTGTTTGGAATAGTTTATAAAACATGAATACTAAAAAGTAAATTATCTTCCTATTGTTATTTTTATTAGATTATATCTAGGATTATACAGAATTAGTTTTTAGAGTGATAGCGGATGATATCTCCGTTATTATAGAAGATATACAATGTCGGCTATTGAACACTTTCCAATATGCTTTGCTAATGTCGAAGTAAAAACTACAGAGAGTATTCGTGCGAGTAGACAACGAATAATATCAATGTGGCCGTATGTGATGTTCGGTATGAATGGGCATACAGCGAAATATATTTCCATGCTGCCGACTGGCTACGTTGATATTATTGGTTTCCTGCTTGTGACTCATGCTAACTCTGTAGTTTTCACTTGAACATTAGCAAAGCCTATTGGAAAGCGTTCACTAACCGACACAAATGAGTACTTTGTAAATATTAGAGAGTGCTCGTGTAAAAATATAAAAATGGAATGATTATTTTAAATAATTCTAGTTAATAACTTACTCAATATTAGAAAGAAGAAATTATAATAATTAGTAATAGTAAGTCAGCAAGCAACAATCAAAAATAAGAATATAGCTTTGTATTTTAGTGTTAAAGTAATAAAGGATTAGGTAGAGGTCCAGGTAAGGAATACTCAAAACAACAGTTGTTATATATTTTAAAACGTATATACACGCGTATATACAGAGTTAATTGAAATTGACATACATAGACTGAAAAAAAAAGCAGGAGAACTTTCTTATTTTCACCTTTTCTAAAAAAATGTATTCTTCATAAAAGTTTATGCTTGTTTTAAAACTTATAATAATCTAAACAGTAGTTAAATATCTCTTTGCCTTAGTAAAATAATGATTAATATGTAAGAAAAAAATAAAAAAATATTGCCATTATTTCATTAAAGCAAAGAGATTCAACTTCTATTTGATTAATTATTATTATTATTACTATTATTATTATTATTATTGAAACTAAAATTTATAAAAAATAATTTTTTTTTCAGAAAGGTAAAAATAAAAAAGTGTTTAGTCTTTTTCAGTCAATATGCGCGCATCGGTACTCGTTACTAGTTAGATGTATGAATCAGAGGTATACTCGTATCCTAAACACTCCAAAATGTGAACTCGAAAAATGTTTATGAAAGTACTTACTAGTACCAATTACTGAGTGCTTTGAATATTATTTTGAGGTACAATTTACTTCAGTACTGCCCAGCTCTGCCGACACCCTAAGTTTTGTAATTATTGGCATTTCCTAAAAATATCACAAAACTCGGACTAAAAATAAAGGCTCAGAATGAAATATAAATTTTTGTGGTGTCCGGTTTGCTCTTAAAGCAATGTCAGAAATGTGTAATCTGGAAAAAAAATAGTTACAGCAAAAGCATTGGCATAAACTATCTATAATTCAATAACCTATTGTTAGTTATAGAGGAAATTTTAATTTTGAGGCTGTTTAGGAGAAATGACGATGATGACAACAGTGATGATGATTTACATGATACTGTAGTATTACAAATTCTACATGATGAAGAAAATTTTGGAAATAGGGATACTTTATACGGGAGATTTAATTTCAATAATCTGATTTCAAAACATTTCTAGCAATTGACATAACATGCTTTTGTAGGAATAAAGAGGTAGTGTACATATAAATTACACATTTATTTTATTTCGCATTATTATTATTATTACACCCTGTATTTGGAACGATCATCACAGCAACAATTGTAGTTTTTTCAAATTAAACATATTAATAACATCAACAGATGTTGATATACAATTTCTATGTAGATATCAAATTTATGATATTTGATTTTATTCATCATTTAATGAATTGATATAATTAATATTGCAGCTCTCATACTTTGTTAATGCGATTTTTGTTTTAATTTTGAAGGGATACTTTCATAGGTATCCAATTTGTTCCTATGCCTAATAAGTGAGTAATTATTATATTATATTTTTGAAGTTAGTTAAAAATAAATTAACATAGCCTTATAGATTAAAATAATCGTAATACACACAACTTTCAAGCCAATATTATTTTCAGAATTATTTTGGCAGTCTTGTTTCTCTGCACCATTAAAATTGTAAACACAGCCGAAATAAATGTTGCTTCAGAATGCGAAGAAGACAGCAAGCTCAAACTCATTGCTTTTTCAAACCCAGACAAAGAACTAATATGTGTGGGAGCCAATCTAACAACTACATGGGTCTTATCATCGGAAAGAACAGAAGACCTGACTAAGAAGAACATACAGTTCATCTCGTCGAAAGGCATATTACAAAAATGGACTCTAAACAAGTATCCATTTCTCAAAACCATTGTGATTTATAAGAGTGAGATCACAGAATATTCTTTAAAGGTACCTTTTGCTAGCCGTCTCCTTATTATTGAAACTATTTTCCCAGTATTAACAAAAACCACGTTAGACCAGAGTAGATACATTTATGCATTAGATTTTCATTCAAACCCAGATCTAAAATTCGAATACGGTTGTTTTAGTTTTCTGAATATGTTGCAAAATTTAACTATTTACAATCAGACTCTAATTACTATCAACTCCAATACATTTCAAGGACTAATAGATTTAAAAATTTTAAAACTAATCGCTAACAAACTAAAAAATATCGATAAAGACACTTTTCAAAGTATTCCAAAGTTGAAAGAACTAATATTGGAAAATAATCCTATCGAACATCTTAAAGCTAATATTTCAAGTTTGATATATTTAGAAAAATTGTCATTGATGAATACTGGTTTGAAAAAAATAAACTTGCCTTTATTTTTTCCAATGAAGAGATTTAAAATTTTGGGTTTATCTAATACAGTTTGGGGAAATACTAAAATTACGAATTTAGCTATAGCTTTTCCAAATTTAAGAATTTGTCTGGCTAACAGTATTGATAAAGAGACTGATATTTTGAAGGAATTGTTTGAAGAATTTGTAGATGTTGAACTTCGTGTAAAGAAAATTGTTAGACCTTTAGACATTCAGATTTCTAGTTATAAATACGATATAACAGGTGTATATTAATTTTATTTTCGATAATGTATGTACATATTAAATTTTTTCAGTTAAAGAACTATTGGAGTCTGCTACTATTTTTTTAAGTCATAAATATTTTGTTATATGTAGTAATATTTTTGTAATCGCAGCAAGTGTCAAAATAATCTACTTTACATAACCAGTGTGCTTAATGTTGAACATTATGAAGCTAGTTGCGAAAAATTCGGTTGCGAAACGAAAAGAAATAAAAATAAACCTTTTTTGTTTTTAAAATCAATATATTGGTATAAGATTGTGTATGTTGTTTATTTTTTTAAATTGGTTAATTAATTAATTTTGATTTATGAATCTTTATACATAACCCATATCATTGATTCATTATCGCGAAAAACAGAAATTTTAAGAGTTGTTGATATAAAAAAAATATTTAATTTTGTTTGTAATTATGATTATGCCCAGCGCCAATGTGTACGGACCATTTTAAAAAAAATTGTA